AATTACGCATCCAACAGAACTGAAGCCACACTGACTACATAGACTGCATACCTTCCTGGATTTCTCATGTTGTTTGGGAAGGCTAAAAGCCTGCCTATGTGTGTGGCAATCCATAAAATCGCCTCACTGGGTTTTCTCTAAGTAAGAGAAATTCATCAAAGCACATCTTAAATTACTTATTACGGCATCATCTTGGGCTAAAATGAGAGCTCACATCAGGAAAGAAGCTGTAAGGGAGGGGAAGGCGTGGGAACTGAAAGACGACACATGGTAAGAGGTGCCATGTGCCTAAAGAGAAACTATGCTATTTTAGTTTATAAGATCTAGCCTGCTTGGTATACCCTAACAAGCATCTTGGAGAGCTTGTTCAGGGTGCGTGCAAACCAAGTGGGTGATCACACGAACTACAGTAGAACAGCAGCCGACACAATGTGATTAATGTGATTAAAATGCAATGGAACTCTAGTTATCTCTGTAGATACATATACAAATCCGACAGCTGCAAATTATTTTAGTCTTGTTTTTTCAAAGACAACATAAACAAGCTGGATACCTGAATGCTGCTTATTTTCAACTAGACTAGTGGCCTTACTTCCTTAGATTCCTGACATTTCCCCACTAGGCTTGGTATTTCTATTGAAATTGCTATGAGTTACAGGAAGCTTTCCTGCTTGCCAATATGTAATAGGCTCAGTTTTGGTCTTCTCTTTGCTGTTTCAAAAATAAATTTAGATACAAGCAAAGTAAACAAAAAAATTTGCATACCCACTGGCAGTGAGCAGTGCTAAAAAGCATCCAAGACATTTTTGTTATACTCTGTATTTGTTCTTTGCAAATTCATACTCGTAACAGCAGACTTTGAGATCTCGTATCCAAAGCCCTGTAATAAATGTCACCAACTTAAAAGCTAGTGAAAACAAAGGCCTTGATTAGAAAAAGATTTATATAATGGACAGTATATGACACTTCTAGTTTCTTAACTAGAAAGTTAAGAAATGTTGAAAGTTCTAATTTATTAAGGTGCTATGCTGTCCACATCTTCATATATGAAGTAAAATGTTTCCTGTGAGAAAGGACAGATAAATGCTTTTTACGTTTGTTATTTCAGAAGATGCTTGAAGACTCCTATAATTATTCTACATGTTCTAGTGCTTCAGCTCATTTCTGACCCGATATTTTATTTCAGCACAGGACTCCACAAGAGGACCCCAACCGAGTTTTACAGTACCTGTGGAGCAGGCTGATACTGCCACCTTGGGGAGGACTTCTTCCACGTACTTCGAGAAGACAGCAAGTCACATAAATCAGCTTGATTTTTTTCCCCGTCATATCCTCCCAGGAAGGCAATTTCTTAAAATCCTCTGCCCATGCTGTTGTAAGACCTTCCAGATGTGTCCCAACTCAGACTGTGTTGCATTCATAATAATACTGGACAGAAATTACTCTTTTTTATGGGCAACTTTGCTTAGCCAAGCTTTAGATATCATTTAAGCAGTGTCTCATTTACACTACTCTTAATTTTAGAGCCATCCTGCCTGCCTAAAAGAGAGTCTGTTCCACATCGATCTGCAAAAGCTCTACTTTCCATACGACATTTCTCTGCTTCTGAGATTCTAGCTTTCTTGGTAGTCTAAATACTTGTCCGTGCACAGCTTAAATTATCTCCTTGGCAGGCTACTGGCTCAGCTGGATGTGACTGCTAGGACATACGATTGCCTCAGATGTCATTAGAGGCATTACTGTGTACAGGAACAGCCTGATGAGAAGTACAGAGGTAGCTAGACCATAACAATTTAACCAAAGTCAAGACTTCTAGGCAAATTAAAGGAAGCATCTGGATTTTATCTTCACATCATCCATAGTTTCATGAGACTGACCTACCCTTTTACTTTGTGAATCAACTCCATCCAGCCTTCTTTAAGTTTGAATCTACTAGCAAATGAAGGGACCTTGCTATAGACTTTATCTGTGAATATGCCTTGAAACACAAAGGCTGAGGACAGCATTGAGCCGCAAGACTGTGGAAAATATCGGTAGCTGTCTCAGCTACACATACAACACACGAAAAGATTCAGTGTCTCACCTCTCACCAGAACAGGCTCAAGAGCAGAGAGCTGTCTGAAAGCAACAAACTTGTCTATCTGCTCTTAAAAACATACAAAAGTATTACACAGCCAACTAGACCCAAGTAACACAAACTCATTCATGATGAATGATGTGAATTTGAGTGAGGAGGCTGTGAAGGCAGAATTAGCTCCAAACGTCCGCCAAAGCACTGTCTGTGCTTGTGGCACCACAGCGGGAGACAACCGGCTTCAAGAGGAACTGGAGTCTCACTCCACTGCTCCGGCAGGCAGGAACAGCCCTAGTACAGCAGTAAACCAATACTCACAGGCTCCCACACAGAGCTACGTCTTGGATGTCAACGTCCCCAGCAGGACTGGGCTCTGGGAAGCAGCTTTTCCTCCCACCACAGCCAGCTTATGCACTGGATTCTTATTCTCACTGTAATGTCACATACCTTTGATACTCTTTAGAGTAAACACACGCCTCCACTCACCTGGGATTTAGTCAGTGAGGTGGCTTATCTAAGCCTTTCTTTGTGAATAGACAAGAAGGGCTCATTCCACACTTCTGTTACAGGAAACTGGTCACTAAAGCACAAACTTGTATTTATTTTCCACTAAGGCATAGGAGTTCAAATTAGTTACTTCCCCACTTGTGATAAATTGCCTAAAAGGCAAATGACACATGCTTTCTGGACAATCTTTTCCTCTCTGGTTTTAATGCTATGATGGCATAGCAAAGAATGAGGCCTGCAAGATAAATCTATCAAGCTATAGAGACAACAGCTAATGCACACAACTGGCAGTGGTGCAAGCCTTCAGTTTTCTTCCTGACTCACAAGCCATTTCTGTATTTTAATCCTTTTTTATAATTATTATTTTAATCCATCTCTGTCAGGCCAACAGCTTTACATCTGCATTTGGTTTACACTGTGCTTTGAAAATATTGCAGTCCTTAACTCATTGCAATAATAAGAGAAAGTGCATATGCCCTTCACATGCATAAATGAACACACACTCAAGAACATGCAACACAAAGTAATCCCAGTATCTCCATTATCACTCTCTCATGTAACTGCTGGTAGAACTCAAGCAATTTTCAAAAATACCAACTTCAAACAATCGCTAAAGTCACTGCAAAAACTGTATCTGCAGCTAAACTGCAAAAATTCAGGAGTGTCAATTACAGACCAAACATACCCAATTGAATGGGTCTATCGGTAATAGATTAACCAGATTAATGTGTACGTAGCAGTCTCAGTGTGGTACGTTGTCGCTATTAGTTTCAAAGTTCACATATGAACTTCTTTTTACACTGCACATATGGCTTATGAAGTCTGAGCAAAACAGGAATTTATGGGAAAATAAGGTAAGTGACAACATGAAATTAATTTAAGTATTTAAGCATAGACTATTTACAGAGGAAAAAAAAGAACAAAATCTTGATCATAACTTAAAAAAAGAATGCACAAGTGCATGTCTATCGTGTCATTATTATGCTACAGTACAAGAATACAATGCACATCTAGGCTGATGAATAACTGATGAGAACCATTTCATAAGGTGTTTTTTTTCAAAAGATATCCTTTAAAAAAAATAAAAGGAAATTGATAACTGAAAAATCCACAAAAATCTCACTGAATTGAGAAAGGGACATCGTGCACAGTATCCAATGTTGCCTGTAACAAAAATTAGTACGTTAATAGCTCTTGTATGTTTGGCTTTGTACTGAAGTCACTTCAAAAGATTGATCTGGGCATGGATTTAATATGAAGGAGAAAGCTTGAACTGCACATGCAAGAATCTAAATAAATTAATCACAGAAAATCCCATTCTAAAATAATCCATGATCTCTCTTTGAGTACCTTTATGTAGTGTCTTTAAAAAAAAAATGTTTTTTTGAAGTTCAGGTACCACTGGTAACTTAATCAACTAATTCACCAGTATGGTTTCCATCTGAAACCCCTCTGAATTTATTTAATCAGCCAGTATTCCTGTTAGATGATTAATGTGTGCCAAAACTCACATAGGTAGTGAATCACAAAAAAGTACAAAGACAATAAGGCTAATTTATGAAAAATTACAATACTCGGAATGATACTCAGCCATCTCTCCTCTCTACCAGCCTATGCTTTTCTTTTCCACCGACTGTGCAAAAGTCTAAAAGCTTCTAAAGTATACATTTCCAAAGTTTCAATTTCATATGGGGTTAGAACCTGCAGCACTGGTCATTTCAGCTCTTCTTTGCTTTCCTTAAGACAAACTTCTTATATTTACCTGTATCAGAATGCCATTTTGGATTACTCTCTATTTCAGCTTCAGCAGTAGCTGATGAAATACATATTCTAAAACGTTCTCTGCTGAGAATAAGCACTCCTTTAAACACTGCTTCTCTCTGACCTTTTTTCTTTCGTAAAAACAAGTATTTATTTCCCAAAACATGGTCACTTAACAGCAGCACGCATTTGTGATCATTCTCTTCTTCCTCTCTTAGCTTTCCTCCTTTTCATAACCTACGCTTCCTATATACTAATGCCATTCTCCACAGTTGTTTCCCAAATTCCTTCCCTTCCCTCCCTTCTCTGTTGCTTCTTCTCAGCTTTATCTGCTTCACTTGTTCCTAAAACTATTCTCACATCTAATTCTTTCTGCCAGTGTAGGAGCACAGCCTGTTAGGTTGCTCTTGAGCCTGTGACACCTTTTGTGGGGTCTTGCTATTTCCAGGCAGCAGACTGGGAAGGACAGCAAAGACCAGATGTATGCCTGCTGTGCTGAACATTCACCTACAGCACATGCTCTTTAAACATTACAGGCAGGGAAGGGCTCTCAAAAGACATTGAATATCGCAGTTTCTGCTGGACTTCAAGTTTTCTGAAATGGCTCATGTTATTTGTTCTTCATTTAGCGACAGGTTTGTGGATAAAAGCACGGACAATGGCAGACAGCAGTGAGATGACCATCAATCTTGTTGTCTTTGGAAGAACTCAGACCGGCAAAAGCGCTGCGGGGAACAGCCTGCTGGGCAGCACGGACTTCGAGAGCCACTGCTCCCCAAGCTCGGTGACTACACGCTGCAGCCTTGGACACAGCTGCCGCATTTTGGGGATTATAAGAAGAAATGGCTGCGAGCTAGCTCTCCGTGTTCGAGTACTTGACACTCCAGGCTATCCTCACAGTGGTCTGAGCAAAGAGCAGGTGAGAGACACAGTGAGGTCAGCCCTGGCTCGCCACTTTGGGGAGGAAGGCCTGCACCTAGCTCTCTTGGTCCTGAGGGCTGACCTGCCCCTGTGTCCGGACGAAAGCAATCACACAATTCAATTCATTCAGGTAACAAGCAAATAAAAGTCTCTGCCCTAATGGCAACTCTTTTATCTTCAGGTGACAACAGCTCTGGAAGCAATGACTGCAAAAGTGAAATAAGAGAAGCGTGGCTGAAAACTGGAACGCTTCCCAGTCAGCAGTTGAAACAGGCCATTCACAACTCCACCACCATACACCATTGCTACACCCATCACACTAAACCTGAGAAGAGACAGGCAAGAACTGCCTCATTTCAAACGTGGGCTGGGCACAAAGAAATTTAGGAACTAGGTTTAGCTATCAAAGTAAGTTTTTTCTCATGGAAATTACAGTTAATGCTTTATCATGACAGGTCTATCTTGTTAGAGAGAAATGTTATTTCAAGCAAGAAGTCAGGTTACCTCACTCACTCTCCTGCACTCTGCACAGCACCAAAGCACAGAGCCATAGGTCCAAAATCAGGGAGAGAACGTGACTGACCTGGGAGAAGGATTCTCAGCTGTGTTCTACACTCACTACTGCTCTACCTGTTCAAGCGAAAATAACTAGAAAGTTACCAAAAATTTTACACTGGCTAAGGAGAAGTTCTAGCATAACTGACTTGAAGCAAGTATTTTGACACTCCTGAGAGAAAATGTGGGCTTTTTTTTTGTGTGTAGGTAGGATATGTGGGGAGAGAAGTTGAAAAGGAACGGCTTTTTTTTCAGTTAAGAGTTTTCTCATTACCATGCATACATGTACTTGAAAAATATACTCTCTCCACAAAAAAAACCCCACAAACAAAAACCACAATGAAAAATAGGCCAACAAGCACATGTTGCTCAGTTTCTGTACCTGATCAGATGAAGCAAGTGTATAAGATTTACAAAGAAACAAAGGGTTTCAGGTATTGCCATAGTCTGCAGATTACACTTTGCATCTGTCTGACACTAGTGAACTTACTGAAAATCTTTAGGACTGGAAGGGACTTCCCAGTCCATCAAGTCTTATCACCTCCTGTAACTGATATTACCTAAATACCTATGTAGATAAAAAAATACAAATATAAAAATATATATCTATAAAAATAGCTTTATAAATGTGTTTGATAAAATCTTCTGATTACTCTCAATTGGTAGGCTACTCATCACTTCTTCAGTAGTTCGACAGTTGGTTCTAACTTCAGCACACTCTGACTCACTGTCAGTTTACGTGTGTTTGGTTTTGGTATTACCTTTTTTCCCTTATGCAGTTATACATCTCTCTATACTTTGTGGTATTTAAGAGAGAGCAGTTTTTACTCAAAATGGTTTTACTCTAAGCCAATGAAAAAAAATCATGCTTCTAGTTTGAGACTGTTTTGGATCAAGTCCATGTAAGCACTAAAAGCATGAGATGCCACCAAGCCTTTTCTTTTTAAACGGACCTTTAAAACCCCTATTGGAAAGGAAATAAAGCAAGTTTAAAAAAAATAATGAGAAAGCAACACTTACTTCTGTTTCATGACTACAACTGGCTCTCAGCTTATATAATGGTTGGCTTTTTAGTTATTTTCCTCTTAAAAGACCAGATGTGATTTCACCAGCCACAAACAAACAGGGTAGGACAGCTGCCAGGAATCAGCACAGCAACAGTTCTATTTCAGTGCGCTGTTCCAAGAAGACATAAGCATGAAGACTACCTTTAGCAATCAGTTTTCACAATGATCATTTGCAAATTAGGGATGGCATATCAGTAGAAGACTACTGGCATTTCAATATGAGATTTTTTTTTTCATTTCAGTAACAGCCTAATTAATTGAGTGAAATATACTGATTTCAGTACTAACATTAGCACTGACTTCTGAGTCCTCAGCAAATCGAGGGATCACCCTCTCTCTCCAAAATGGGTAATTCCACACTTCCTTAGAAAGCTTATGCCAATTTTTATTTTCTTTCCTACTGTCTAAAACAGCAAAAAATTAAATTTCCCATATTCATTGACAAAAAAGCAGCTTGTTTTCAACATTCCCCTCCATCAGATGAACTACAGCAGTCAAATACAAACCTCTGGCCAGTCACTTAGGTTGATGCATTTGATTTGTGTTTCTCCTGAATTGATGAGAATAGTGGAGTTTTATGGGACAGCTGGAATTGCAGTTGGTGTAATATAGAAATTCATGATTTTTTCAGCACAAGGTGATTTGGTGATTTAAAAAAAAAATTTCAAAGAGCTGTAAAAAATGCAGAAATATGGATATATGGAAACTACTGATGCAAACTAGTGTGTGACCTAGCTAAATAACCATTTTTCCTTGTTTACATAGACTTTTTTTAAGTAGAGAAATTATATTAACATCTGTAGTAAGTGCACAGAGAACTGCTAGTACTGCATGACCACATATTTCCACTGAAAGTGGATGTCAATGTCTCAGGAAGGTGAAAAACCCCAGAAATTTCAGCAACTCAGATAGCATGAACTGGATTACTGTCAAGGAAAGAACATAGAACACACCTGTTCATGTATAAGTAGATAAGGTGGGAGTGGGGAAAAGGAACAAGAAAAGATAACTATTTGATATTTGGTTTTCATTACAGGAACTTCTGGGTCCCACATGGAAGGATTTCACTGCAGTTCTACTTACTCATGCAGACAAGGCAGAAGAGGCTGGATTCAGTGAGGAAACATACTTGAATAGTGCCTCAAGTACCCTGCTGTCCCTTTTGAGCTCAGTACAGCATAAATACATTTTCCTAGACAACCAGAAGAGTAAAATTAAAGAGGAAAGAGTTATTGTGTTAAAAAAGCTCTTGAGTTTTATAAGACAAAATAATTACCAAGTGCTTCAACTCAAACACAGCAACGAATAAAATTGGCTTTCAGGTGCTTATTTGTCTATTTTCTACAGTAGGTAACATTTAATAGAAATACAAGAGTCAAGCCATCAACTGGAAAATTCCACACCCATAGCAAATACATTTGGAAATATCTCTTTAGATTATCAAACTACTTGCCTTTCCTCATAGAATCATAATGGTTGGAAAAGACCTCTAAAGATCACCAAGTCCAACCATCAACCCAACACTACCATGACCACTAAACCATGTCCCAAAGTGCCACGTCTACACGGTTTCTGAGTACCTCCAGGGATGGTGACTCTACCTCCAGAATCCTCACTTCAACCACAAAATCAGAACAAGCCAGTGCTCTAAATCACGCTAATATGCTTGTAGTCACAAACGAGATTTTAGGCTACACCGGATTACATATTACAGTTCATATAGAACACAGATCTAGAAGGAAAAAAAAAAGTAAAAAATGTACGAGTTCAGATTGTAAGTAAGCCTCTTTGCTCAATTCTTCAGGCTTTTAGAAGTTCTTCTGAACTCCAAACTTTGTAAAGAACTTTCCAGGATCAAGAAGCTAAGATGTATCTACTGTAAAAGTATTTCCTTATCTCGATTCAGTATTAGATAGAACTGATATTTTGAACTTCAAGCATTTTTTCAATAAGACATCATTGGATATGTAGTTTATAAGACAGATAAAATAGCTTCCATGTGTTTAAAGCTATTTGGCACATTTAAAAGAACTAAATACTATTGCTTATTCCAGATGCATGAAAAGTTAACATAGATTATAGGCACACACAAAACTCATTTGAAAAACAAATCTTTTCATCTCTTCTTTTATGACCATTCATTTTATATCACTATCATTTTGTTTTTCTCTCCCAGTTTACCTGATGAAGTTCAAAGCCTGAAAAATTCAGTGGCAAAGGTTTTTTTTTATTTCAGTGGTTAAAAAAAGCACTTACTGTTTCAGTGGTTAGACAGTAACCAGTTAGTTAAGCATTATATGCCAAAATATCTGAAGTATCTCTGAATAGTTACTGAAATAGTTATTTTCAGACTATTAATTTGAGGCTATTACTAAAGCAATCATGGCTACTTGTACCACACTATTATGCACTAACTATACTCTAACTGTAAAAACTGAAGAAGCTATTTTGTACAAAATGTCATTGCATAAAAACATATTAAACCAAAGAACCAACTCATTTTACATCTGTCTGAGCATTAAAAACGGATTTGATTGTATTTGACTATCTCTGGCAATCTGTTTGCTATTCATTCTATCTATCATTTGGAAGGAAATATCAACGTGGACTAAATAAAAGATGTATTTTAACAAAGTGACAGCTTTGATCTTATTGACATTGTAACAGCTTAACTGTAACAGCTTAACTGTGGTTCCAGATCTTAGGGCATAAAGGGACATAGTTTAATCTTCTTGCTACAATTGTCTGCAGGCTACTGAGACAACACAGCCAAGAACAAAGTTGCAGAGGCTTATAATGTATCTGAAAACTGCTTGGAAGAGGAGAAAAACTATTAACGGTAACTAGAAGAATGAAGATGACTGCAGTCTTCACTAACCAACTCCTAGTCCAGCACATCTTGAAGAGCAGTCAGCAGTTCCTTACTGCGACACTCTTGCTCCATAGATCCTCTGAACCAGAAAACACACTTGCCTGCCTGCAGTTCTACCATCAACAAGCTTAGGCAATGAAGTCTTGAGCACTGAGTGGTTAATGACTGTTCACAACATTGAACTTCAAGAACAGTGAGTGACCTGTGAAAATGATGGCGGCATAACACATTCTGTACATCTGGAAGAGGAGTCAAACAAAAACGCATTAGCCATGCATATGAGAGTGGTAACATATTCATGGTTTTTATTGTGCTTGCATTACTTTCCATTTCAATTTCTGAAAAAGCTTCTAGTAACTATTTATTTATTTAATTCCGCTGTTTGCCATGGTCTCTGCCCTGCAGACTCCTTTCCCTTTCACTTCAAACGGAACTCCTTTGTACGTAGCAACACACTGGTCATCAGTATGAAGATCGGGTTGGATTTGCTCCCAAATCTTCTTTTTGGGATTAAGTTCCTTCTCAGGATCACCTGTTCCAAAACAAAGAATAACATAATAGCACACAACACAGAAGGCAGTGCAAGAGGTCTATGCAGGCACACATCTGTGACAGCCCACATTGCACCACTGCACACTTTTTTAAAGAAAAAAAACCCCAAAACATAACCTGTGGTGCTCAACATGAAAAAGTTAATCAGAATTAGGGATTGTCTAGGAGTTGTTTCCAGAGCCTCTCTCAAAATACTGATCTTTCAAGGGAAAAAAGGTTGCAAGCAAAACATGACAAATACTGTCAAAAGGAAGAAATTAAACCATTACTAGTTTTTTGGTTTTCAAAATTTCCTAGAGACCAAAAGGATTCCTAAGAATTAAGCAGATGCGGACCAGAGAAGTACACTACTCACCAAGACACAACTTAAGTTGTTGGCAACTTAAGTTTAAGAATTAATGAATTTTTATAAGCAATTAATATTAATTTGGCAGGTGCCTTTACAGTGGAGAAATACTGAATTTAGACAAAAATAGCCCAAAAATTAGATACTGGCGTAGAATTTTAGGCCCGAGTTTCAACACTGTTCTGCTACTTTTTGTACTACATCAGCAAATCTGACTGCTTCAGGATCTCTAACAACCATAAAACGCAGGTTTCTTCTACTAATGTTCTGAAATACTGTTAACAAATTACAGAGAATAGTAAAGCATTTCAGAGTTGTATTTTTCCTATTTTTGAATAAGCATGAAATGCAAAGTATAAGAACAAAACAACTAAGCTAAATAAGCTCTCTTGCTGTAAAGATACTGAATAAACTGCTGCCTGCTGACATAATCTAGAAAAAGCAAGCCAACCAATTTGCTGTACAATTATTTTCTGTTCAAAGGTTAGGTAAATTTTATCTCTTAATACTAATACAATGCACATTCTCTTAAAGAAACCAAGAGATACCATTAAAAAGTTATTTAATTATAATGTTGTCAGGTGTTCTTGACCTCTTGTGTGAAACATAGCCAGAACAAGTGAAAAAAACTCGCAAGACTTGTTTTAAATATAATTAGAGCACATTTAAATGCTGAAAGGCATCCCATGCTATTTCCTTGTTGATACACTATATACACTTTTACTTGTTTGAATTGCCACAATGGCACCATTCTGTCCAAAATGTTAAAATCTTAAGTTCTAGAACAAGCAAGAATTAAAAACCAAATCTTAGTAAACGTATCCTCCCTGAGATCCGCTGAGAAGCCAGGTTTTCCCAAAGGAAAATGAAGAGTTCTTCACATAAGCAACATACCAAGTACTCTATCTTCCACTACTTGATGGAAGTAAAAAAAAAATAAATTTAAAAGGCTACGGAGATTTAAATGTATGTGTTTCTAGTAGCTGGTCGAAATTACTGTTTGGGGCGATCCTGAGTGGCTGACCAACAGGCAGTTAAACGAACTACTCTCACTCCAGCCTGCCTTACTGTTTTTCTCCTTTAATTTTTTTTTCAATGGCTCAAGCCACTCACATGCTGAATGCTTGTAAAAATAGTTACTTCTGCCTGTTTACGGGTCTAACTTCTATAGCTTCTGTATCTGCAACTGCTAAGAAAAGTAGACCAAGCCAGATTTCTCTGAAATCTAGCCTTGCTACAGCAAGATTCAATAATGCAGGTGAATTATTTCACAACCACAAAGTAATTAATATTTAAAAGAAAAACTACTAATATCATTATCAATTAAACATTTACACTTAATGGTGCATTTTCCCAAAAAAAAAAATCCTGCTCAATGCTCAAGCTGATGAACAAAGACAGGATTAGATTTAGACCCAAGTGAATGCATATGAACCAATAAAATGATTAAATAGAATGTTAAGTGATCCATTGTGCATTTCCTTAACCCTCCTAAAATATAAAAAGCAAGTGAATTTTTTCAGTAAGAAAAAATCTGACTTGTATTATAATAAACACACTTTGGATGTTAATAAATTTCTTTGGAATCCTGCGTTAAGCTCCCTTGGGATCTGTGGTGAGCTCATATTAGATTAGCATAGGCACCAATTTTAAATACTACCAGAGCTTTAGGCTGTGCATTTTCCATTGACTTTTCCTCACTGCATTCCTTCCTCCCAGAAAATATTCTTTAGAAGGGTTACTATAAATAAAATAAATTTAAACTTATAACAATTTAATGAGCTTTGCACTCTCTTTACATAAAGAGAACCAAAAAAAGAGATCCCAAATTTTGTTTAACATATCATTCAGTCTAGCAGTTTAAATATTACAAAAGAAATTCTCAGAATAAGCAAGAAACCTTTCCACTTTGTAACAGGTCAGTAACTATTGAAAGAATCTATGGCAGCACAGGAAGGAGCAAAAAGATGCGGTGATGTGTGACCTTACACAAAGTTAATACCACTTAGCCCACTGTAGATTGTAACAATGCAACCAAAGGAAAGCATCCACACACCAAAGCTTTGATTAAGCAAATCCATTAAACGCAGAGTAACCACTGCACACTAGTTTCAAGCACCACCTCTCCGTTTTGTTTTGTTTTTTTGTCTTTTGGGGGTTCTTTTTGTTTGTTTGGTTTGGTTTTTAAGAGATAGTTACTAACTACATTGACAGAGATTCTTAGACCAGAATGATTATTTTATTATATAACTTAAACAACAGATTTGTGGTTCCTGTGGCATTTATGCATTGAAGAGTTTTGTCAAAGCACCAATTATACTATTAGTCAGAAGATTTCACACTTAGTTGTGAAAACTCCAAAAATTATTTTTTTAATTGCTGTCTTACAGCAGTTACTGTGTAGCAGGGTATAGTATTTACAGACATGCAACAGAAAAATTTTTCTATGGTTTAGAAATTGGATCTTTTCCACTGAAGGCAGATAGAAATTTAATAAAGTTCTTAATACAAAAAAGGTCCAACAGATCTTGAAGATTCA